GAGGACTATTATTCTGCTGCATGATACTGCGGAAGAACTGATGACGGCACGGTTTGATCTTCGGCTGACCAATCAGCAGAAAGGGGCGTTTAATTCCCGCCCACATGTAGAAATCAAATATTCAAGCTGTTTATTCATTTTTCCACCCATGAACGAAAAACGAAAATTTAAGCTGAATTCTCGTTTCTCGTTTTTTTGGAGAAAAACGAAAAAATGAAAAAGGAGCCGTTTTCTAATTTTTCTACTTTCAATATTAAATAAAAAAACGAATGATCGAATGATACACGGATTCTCTCTCCTCCCCATTATTCCAAACTTCTTGCCATCTCATTTTTGACGTCTTACCTCGCCGCGCACGCACAGAATAACGCTCCAATCAGACCGAGGCGAAGAATCTTCCTCATGAATATTAATTAAAATTCTTAAAGGTATAGTTCATCCAAAAATGAAAATGTGATGTTTATCTGCTTACCCCCAGGGCATCCGAGATGTAGGTGACTTTGTTTCTTCAGTAGAACACATATGATGATTTTTAGTCTGTCAGTCGTATAACGCATGGCAAAATGTTCTATATCTTAAAATATATTTACATAGAAAACTTATCTTAAAGAATTTTTTTAAAATTGTAATATTTCCCAATATTAGTGTTTTTAGGTTTTTAGTTTGCTTGTTTGTTTTTTATTAAATAATGAAAACAATTAAGTAATTAATTAAATTTCAAAAACATAATATAATACAACACTATTCATAAAAGAAAAATGTTAATTATATAAAGAAACTGTTATTCTTATTTTTTTAAAGAAAAATTTGTAAATTGTAATATTTCACAATAAATGCATGCAGCCTTGGTGACCAACAGTTTTTTTTTTTTTTTTCAAAAACAAATATAATACAGAAATACACATAAAATAAAAATGTTAATTACATAGAGAAAATGTTATTCTTATGATCTATACTTTCACAATAATGCAAAAATATGCTTACATTTTTTTTAAATCATAAACAATGACACAAAGCCAAACATTCTACATCTTATTCTTTATTTATAGACATTTGTGCAAAGTATATTACAGTACATTACATACAAACAATCCACAGAGCTGTGTAAAAGTAGATTTGTCAGACTGCTATGGCTGAATAAAGCCTTTTACGTTCATTCAACGTACATATTTAGAACAACCAGCCTAATAAATATAGTGTTTTCTCATAAATGATATTATCACATGGTAGATTATTTAAAATCTTGTAACAGTTCTCACGTAACTAGGGTTAAAATGAGAAAGATACATTCACCTCCCAAGTCCCTGTACCAAAGTGCAAAGTCAATTCCATGA